TGCCGGAAACTTGATTGCTGCGGCAACATCGGATTAAGCGGAAGATTTCTCGTTTTATTTCACGCATACGAAACGCGTAAACAACAGAATTAACCAGCGAGTTGCCATAATGCAAGAATTTCGCAGAAAAGTAAATATAAGAAGAAGCTCTTTTACTGGCCAGGAAAATACATGGGTAGGGTAGCCACATGGCTAGGCTTAGAATAGTAACAACAGCAAGAGTGACAGTTAGTTTCTTGTTTTCCTGGACATTTACATCATGAGCTTGATATGTTGAGCAACGGACTTTCAAAACGATAAGAATATACGCAGCAGAAATTATAACAAGTATGACACCAATAAATGTCGTTCTTATATTAATGGGGACAGGACTTTCCGTGAAAAGAAAATATAGACCGACCACTAAGAATGGAACTAACCACATCAAAATTATACCAATGACGTAGGGGCTGTTACCTAATTTTGAGTGTCTGAATGGGAAGTATGTTGCATGTGCTCGTTCAATGGCCAGCGCTGCCAAACCAAATAARGATGCCGCTCCAAAGAAACAATCGATCAATTGATAGACTATTTCAAATAAGCTGTGCGTGTCTTTGCTTAGTATATATACAGTGAACACTGGAACAGACACAAGGCCAACGAAGAGATCAGCTACAGCYTGGCTGATAATCATAATGTACTGTTTGCWGTGAAGACGTCGTGTTCTGGTGAATATGRYGATTGTTGCAGCATTTGCTGCTGTAATAATCACTGCTTCCAGTACAAATAACCATGAATATGACCACATCACCTACCAAGGCGGAAGGCGATACGACCAATGATTTCGACGTGTTCTTCTCGAAGGAACTGTAATCAAATGATTCAGTTTCATCTTAAGTTTGAATGGCAGTTTTAAACTGTGTACAAAAGAGAGTAGAACTTAATGAAATTTTTCTAATTCAAAACTTTTATCGAGTGTTGTGTCATCGTATGTATGAAATAAACAAACAGAAAAGATAAAAATATTGATAAGAAGTCATGTAAGAGTAGAGTGTACGCTGCAGTGTAACACCTGCATCCAAAGATTGGTCTTTTTGGCGGCAAAACTGATTCATTGTGTTCCAAAAAATTGTTGGAATCCAATAAGTGCATTTTTGTTTATCAAAACAATGTAACCATAGTCACTTTTGGTCCCGCAATCTCAGCATTTTTTGAATAGGTGTATAATGTGAGATTCAAAAACCTTTGTGTACGCTGGAGCTTTTAAAAGTAGACACAGCTGGCGCTTTTCAGAGTAAAATTAGTAAACTGCTGCACGTTGGACATGGTTCACACGACGATATGAGCATGGGAAAAACAATAAATTTAGGGATTACAAAGTGTTATGAAAACATAAGGAGGATCCTTTTCTTTTAATTTTCAAATGAACGTTAGCTTATGATAATAGGCAGTGGTTATGATTATGTCGGTGTCTTAGAGTGGTTTTACGTCAACCATGAAAAGAAATAGAACAACTAGTTAGTAGCAATGAGTACTAGACTAGTCAATATAACTTTTAGACATATAAACTATAAACGAATAGCTAACAAACAACAGTTTGAACAAATTAAACGTTTAGTTTAATTAGTTACCATCTTGTTTTTGTGATGAATATGTTTATACCTATCAATCGGATATAACCTACAATTGTAGACTATTAGTAATATTTCAAAGCCGACTGTGAGGACTGGACGGGATTTCAAATCCGCGGTGAAGTTCATTAATTTTTATCTACTCTAAGGACTTTGCATAACAAAATTTATTTCTACAACTGGATCAAAATTAATTCGGTCCTTGAGCTCCAGCCCCTTCACCGAAATTACAGGCCTTTAATTGGTTGTTTTCCTCGTGAATAATTAATCAGTATGAGAATTACATTCCTTGTCATTGTGAGCCAGTGACCTATGTCTCTTTTCAATTCCAACAGATCAGCACAGTCAGTAGTCAGCTAGAAATCTGCGTGTTAACGTGTAGGAAAGCCTCAAATCTTGCAAGAAATATTGAAGAAATTTCTAGCAGTTTGGAACTCGCGAACTTCAAGGTGGATAACATAAACCTTTTCTAAAATACAAACTTATGGTGCAAATAACATGATAGCACCATAATTTGCTGCATGAGCAATAGATGTTTGTATCTTGCTTATTTGCATATGGTTTAGATTCAGTACAGGAACCAAAAACCAAGACCAAAACTTTAAAAAAAAACTTTTAAAAAGCRCAGGGATCCCGCACGAAAGACAGTCCATTGAGATATTCGAGATATTCAGGGTTATTCCTATTTAAATAAAAATTTCGACCCCTTTCATGTCGGTCGCAGATTCAATCACAGTGATACCTAATAAATTCATGCGCGATTCGTGAAGCAATTCTAAAGTTTTCATAGGAATAATTCGATTTATTTATATTTAGAAAATTCAGATTGCTGCCGTAGTGAAGAATGTCGGAGATGAAGAAAAGCAAAGCGAGGACAACTCCAAAGGTAAAGAGAGTAATAGAGAGGATTTCGTATGAGTGGGAAACGGACGGTACTGTACTGTAACCGTAATCGTACTGCAATCAAATTCTAGTGCCCCATTGTTTCACCAAAATTCTGCAGGCTAGGTGCGGTAACTGTGCGGTAACCGTGCGGTAACGGTGTCCCACTCATACGAAATCCGCTCGATCCCCGATTACCAGCCGCGACTGACTTCGTCTAGAATCAAACAAAATCCAATAAGTTTCGTTTCAATGTTATTTCAATTTTTTCAAACAGTTTCGTATTACTTGAGGTCGCAGTTCTCTGCCTCAAAAAACAAAAAATAAGTGTGCTCCCAATCTCAACCTATTAATTCAATATACTTCGGTCTTAAAACTGACTAAAATGTCAACCCTCTAGAACGGTTTTTCCGCCAAAACCATTAGCCAGAGCCAGACAGATGAAATGAGCCAACAGCTCTAGCGATATGGGTAACCTGTTGTAGCGTCGAGGTTACAATTTTTGTCATCTTCATGGTGTGACATGTAATCTTTTTAAAGTCTCAGTAGTACACGATCATACTGACTGTTGATATCTTTCCTTTGATTGCAGAGCAAGAATCRACCAGTCCTGTTAGTTCTAGCGAGACTGGCGTTCAAGGGTGTGGCATTGTTGATGTAATCACATTGCAAAAAGGTGCGGACCTTTGAATACATTGATTTTCACGGTTATATTCCTATTATTATTCTATCATACGTAAACCAACGTACAAGACAGTAAAGGATCACTAACACAAATAGGCTAGTATCCTCTTCTKTCACATATACTGAGATTTTGACTGATATTCGTTTTGGTATCAGATCCAATTAGTTTTCAAAGATTCTTCAAGATGTGGCTACTTGATTGTGAAACTGATCAGGAACACATACGAATAGAGTTGCCAAGTCCCTTCCCTCTTGGTAGCCAAGGTAACTATTATATGGGACTCATGGAGATATGAGATTTCCAAACATAAATTCTTATAATAGAAAACATATATTTGACGGTCTAATGCTATATAATTATAAATAATTGCTTCAAGTGTACGTTGTCAATTGTCTATTAGATGTGTTTTCTTGTAGTATAAAATCAGATCATATATTCTGACACCTGCGGACATCTAGTAATTTCAAATAAAAATTGAATTCAAGATGGTGGTCGTATTATTAAGTCTAACCAAAATGCGGGCCGTATTGGCAATATGGTATATTCAAGATGGCTGTTGTATAGGTAATAGGTGTGTGTTCAAGATGGCGGTCATGTTTTCATAAGGCCTATTCAGGATGGCGGTCGTACTTCTATTCAAGATGGCGGTCGTATTTGCAATAGTTTTGTGTTCAAGATAGCTGTTGTATGGGTAATAGGTTTGTGCTCAAGACGGCGGTTGTATGGGTAATAGGTTTGTGCTCAAGACGGCGGTCGTATTGGTAATAAGGCCTATTTAATATGGCTGTTGTATTTGCAATAGGTCTGTGTCAGGTTTAAGACGCCGGTCTCATTATTGGAAAAAATGCCTATTCAAGATGGCGGTCGTATTGGTAATAAGTCCTACTCAAGATGGCAGTCGTATGGACAACGTGTCTGTGTTCAAGATACCTGACGTATTGATAATAAGGTTTATTGCGCTTTCTCCCCTTGGGTTCCCTTTATTTATGAAAGTATCAATAAAACAGACCAGCGCSTTGWTATGCATTGCTAACCATTGTTAACCCAATGAATTTCTCTGTGACACGATTAAGGTGCAGAAGCTAAAGATGCCGACATGTTGATGATCAAGTGCGATATCCATGAACGCCTTATCAACCCCGCACACCTTCCTTTTCGRTCACAGTTTGTAAGTAACAATAGAACTTGGGATGTACAAGACTACCTGGTAGCACAATAAAATATTTTCCARTTAAAATAAAAACGATATGTGCTTAAATGAAGTTGAGGTGATCTTTTCCTTAAAATTCAACGGAAAATATTTTAAAAAATCACTTGTACAAGCCTTTGTAGAATTTCTAACTATAAATATCTTTACTACCACTTCCACTATGAAATATAATGTTCAKTTACCACTGTTTTTCGTTTTGTTTAGCTGTTGCTGTTTCTTTTGTTGTTGTTGTTATTTTTTGTTGTTGTTGTTGTTTTGCTTGTTTTTATTGTTATTGTTGTTACTTTTTTTATTTTTACCGGTAATATAAGTTGTGGGTTGTTTTTGATAGGAGATAAATACCGAAGCTCTCTCTAAGACATTATTGAATAAATCATGTTCGTCTTTGATATCCTACCCTGTACATACCATGAAAGTCGACAAACTTCTGAAAAGAGAAGCAATCTGTGAATCGGTGGTGAGTATTTAAAAATGTCTGTTATATTTTATCGAATATATGGACATAAAACCCCAGGAAATACCCCGCAACGCCCCACGMTCCTAACAAAAATGGTAGGGACGCATTTTCGATGGAAGTAATCCTTAAAGATAAGCTTAATAAATATACTTAGGTGCTAAGTTTAGAGGAAGGGGGGGTAGATGATCAGATTTTCCTGATTAAAAAGAACAGATCCGCAAGACTATTCATATTTAATTCAGGAATGTTTTATCCAATTTTATGAAATTGGTCCTTTATCCATGTTAGCAACTGTATTAACGYGTTTTCTTTCSTCTTTTCAAAATRWTTCATCTTTCAAGTTGTTTGGAATGGTAAGTTTTACTTTATCCATTGGAATACAGCGCCATTGAAATTAAAATGGATTTCATTGTTGTTGGAACTGTACATTAAGCTATCTCTAAGAGCCGTCTCAAATACCTACATTGATCATTGTTTGTTTCTATACAGCCTTATATCATACGTTCAACGGTTTGTTGGAAGCTAGACTGGGAGGAGCTGGAACGTAACCAACAGTACTTTCATGCATTCTGTAATATATTACAAGAAAGGGTAAGCAAAGGACGACAAGCCCCATTAGAGTTACATAAACYCGTTGGCGAAAGTCCTTCCCTTGACAAGGACCATGTAATATATAAAATATCATTGTGTGCGTCCGACCTTTATGTATAGTTTAAAACACGAGAGAGAGTGCTTTATCAGKTATAAAGATGCGATCGCGGCAATGCTTTGTATTTACCTTATGAAAAATAAGCAAATTTGATAAGAAGGGGTTTATTAAAAGGACCTAAGGTTTTTGTTGAGAACTGGGAAACAAAACATGATAGAATATTACTGGGAACKTTTTGAAAAAGTCAAGGGCTATATATTCCCCGATCTATAGCTTCTTTGTATTGTAGCAGTACAAGCACAATAAGCTTTAAGATAGATTGTTTTTTATTGTTAGCTATGTCAATGATGTACAGATATCCCAAATTCCCTGGTCGTCCGACTTTGCCTCCATTCAATGGAAATGGCGCATTTCTCTTTCAAAACACTTCTGGAATCTAAACAGAGAAGAGGAACATTATTGTTGTGCGGGAAGATAATCAAGCTTTGCCTGTTTTTATTAGTCAGGTTTTGAAGCAGTTCTTGGTGTGCAACCTCATGACCAGGAATCCCCTAAAAAATATAAAGAACATAGCTATCGCCGCCATATCGCCATAAATGAGCAAGAGAAACTAATAAGGAATGCTTTGTGATTTTCATCCAACATGGCGGTGATGATGTAACTTGTACGCCAATGCACTGGAAACAATCGCGCACTTTAAAGGTTGTCAATTTGATGTAAATATGATGTATTTGTCCAAAATGATGTAAATTTAATGGAAATCATTTACATCAAATTTACATCATTTTGGACACTTACATAATATTTACATCAAATTTACAACCTTTAAAAAGGGCGTTTTTTTTCCAGTGATGATACCGGTGTTTTATAAATGAACAAACGTATTTATAATAGGATTTAACTGGCTCGTTTTTCAGGACTTGGCTGCTCTGTTAAAAATAGCATGTGGACAACCAAGGCTACCTACAGGATACTACATCTTAATGCCGTCACATGGAAGTACAATGTTACTCAAGGCAGTAGCAACAAATGAACTGCTATTACCTACAGACTTCAACCAATCAGAACCCACTACAGAAACAACAGAACTCATTGCTGCATCGCTTGATTTAGTAAGTGYCATCAGGTGTGAACAACATGTCTTCATCATCTGTTTAACTGTTATCRCTCTCTCACGGCACGGGGGCAGAGACGGCCTTTTAAATTCAAAACCTTGAACAGCGGCTCATGCTAACATAGTGTAAGATCAATTAAGGGTAGCTGTAATTTTGAGTAGGACACAAATTCGAATTTACCCACCTGCTTTTGATGGGTAATTATTAATAAGATTAAACTGATTTGCGGTCGTACATCGGCASSTCATTCATTTGCACTCGTTTGGCAGGGTTTGTCATGCTCAGTTTGTATTTGAATATCACTAATGATAAACACATTTAGAWTCCCGTGGATCACCAGGCGTTAAAGTGTTATCCTATTGTATTTCAGATTCAAGTCAATGACTGTTTTAACCCTGTCTTCGTGGAGAGCGGCTTGTATAAGAGCCTTGCAAATCTGTCTCTCAAAGGAATAAAGCATCCTCTGCGACCAGCTAAAAAAGGTTTCCAAGCTCCAAAGGTAATAGTTTCGCATTGCCTGTATACAACACCTTTCAGCTATTAACATTACTTGTACCTTAACCTACTAAAACTTGCCACAGTTAACGCTCCCTACTACCAGCTTCTTTGAAATGGTCCTTTTAAAACTCATCTGAACTCCTAACCTCCCTATACTCTACCCCTACCTCCCTCCATCATAACTGAAACATAATAGCGAACTTGCTAATTCTGCCTCGCAGTAATCCACAAAAAGAAATCAAGAAGAGGCGCCGCGCATAAGACTCAGTCATCCCAGAAAATAGTGTTGGACCACAAGGGACCGTCGCGGCAGTGAAAAACGTACCTCTTAGTTGTTCGATTCTCTTCTTTATTCTAGCACAATTGTTTAATGCTCTGACGGACTAACTGGACTGACTAACTRACTACTACTCGTTACATTGCTTGATATATGTTTTACAGAATTAGACAAAACCCAAATAATAATTTGATATTAACTAAAACAATAACCAATTATGGCATAACTCCATACTGAGGGGAATTCCCCGTTTATGACGACCTTGGCTTATGCTACAAATATCGACCATGTGAACATTATTTAAACTGCGTCATACACTTAAACTAAAGTAATTACTTATAAAAATACAATAATAATGATATTTAAACATTTCGCCATCATTCTATAAATTCAATATTGACCCTAACCCTACAACATAAAATTTGCTGGACATTAAAATTACTGGTAATTCAAAACTCTTTTTACTGGTAATCTAAAACTACAAGTACATGACTTGGCATATTTCAATTTCTAGACCAAACTATAAAACTGCTGACGAATCACTTAAAACTGAAATCTGCTATTAACTTATTAACATTGTATTAACTAAATGTCAGGGAGACGTAGTCTAACAATAGAAAAAAAAACTAAAGTAGACTGAAATTTATGTATTGCACCTCGTCTTGATTCTTTTGTATTTAACTACTTACAGGTGAAATTTGCAAATCAGCTATTAACTATTGTCAGCTAATAAGTTATTTATGGTATCCCTGTGTGATTTTGTTTGTTGTATTGCATTGTGGGCCACAGAACACATGGTTCTGAAAMTTTCTCCACAAGAAATATCGAGTAAAGTTTACTTAGTAGAGCTATATATCATCAGTTTTGCTTTTCTCTGTGCGAGAAAACGTACTCGGCTACAATAACTGTACTGTCAACGTGTACACGTTCTTACTTATAGAAATATCAAGAAGAAACACCCAAGCCCCCCCAAAGCAAGTCAAACCGTGCGTTACCAAAGCGTGTTGTATTCGCTAAAGACAGTACGAAAGCTGCAAAACGATCACGYACAGCTCCACCATTAGACATCTATGTGTCTAGTCCAACTGATCTTACAGATGATCCTTGAGATCAGAGATCAGCATCACAAAAAAGATTCATCAGTTATCTTTGCAAAAGCTTCCTATAAAGCAAGGTTTGAGGACATCAGATTGTGGAATATATATACTAAAGTATATTCTAAAGGCATAAACACCTTGATTGTTATCATATTGAYCATGGATATTGATATCATACGAAATTGCATGGCACTCAAACGGAAAAAAACGCTTGTTTGAGGTACTTTTCGACTTTAAGGCCATTTTTCTTAGCTGGATTTTAACGACTTTTCTAAGCGGATTTGCAATGGAAACGGCCGAATCCGATAAAACAAGAGAATCAGAAATCCAAATTAGTGACTTCAAATGTTTCCTAATTGTAAACTAGTAACGACAAAAAAGCATTGGATTCTGTATTGGTGGAAGTCAGTATACTTGCGAATTTGTTTATTGAATCGGAATCCAAAAAAACGGCACTCCGCCATTCTGTGACCATGAGGTGAATGAGTGATGCTTTTAGCCTCCTCCGCAGGCATCACAAAGAATCACGGGCTTCCTGTCTTTTTGAGGAGTCAAAAGSGGTCCTATCTCGTCACTAGTCCCTAACAGCCAAAATGACCGTTACAAAGGAAGTCCAAAGGAGGAAAAAAGAGTTGCCTGTGGAGGAGGCTAGTCCGCTTTCAGGGAAGGTACGTTTATTTATTTTTTTTTTTTTTGAGAGGGGAGGGCCATATATCAATTTTGCAAGATTTAGAGGAGCGTCCATCTTCATTGATAATAATATTAATAGTACCTTATGAATCCTTTTGGTTGTCCCTTCGACATATAAGAGTATCACCAAACCTTGAGATTGGCTTGCTTTGCCCATCCCATTAGAATGAATAATGGCATACTTTTTCCTGTAAACTTTCATTGATAGCAGGAGACTTGTGTGCGTGCTGAGGGGAGGGTCATCAGTATTTTTGGTACTTTAGAATGGATGGTCAAAAGTTTTCTTTTAAAATTACTGAGGAGGCCGGTCACACTTTTTTGGGAAAAATACTCTAAAAATCTCCAGCCCTACACCCCCCCCCCCCCCCCCCCCCCCCCCCAAAAAAAAATATTCGTACCTTGCCTTAAGTCATTTCTCAAATCGGGGATTTCTTCAACCTTCCCGTTGTAACGGGGAAGATTCTACTGTAGTACGCTTTGAGATATATCAACTATGTTGTATTTCAGTTCTAGAGGCTATATGGCCAAGCATAGKTTATATTTTGTAGCGCAATATTTTTTATGTACAAATCCAAAACATGGAGAGAAGATTTGACTGGGYTCAAGTGCTTTATTAATCATATCCGTTCATTATGAGTCAAGATATTAGCTGTTTCCTGAACATATTTCAAATAGGGATATTTACTTCCTTACACGTAGGCATTTGCAATAGGCGTAAACTGTTCTAAATAATTTGACCAATCCAGAAATGATACCATTTAACTTAGGTTTTTCAAGGTTTAAACGCACACTGTTGCCACAAACACAAGCTAACAAAATCTGTAAAAAGGATTTCAGGTTGTCATGTTTGAGTTGATATGAATTTGTATAAACTTAGTGACAACAACGCACGAATAATTACTATTTTCAACGTTGTTTACATTGCTAAAATACACACTGCCGCTAGTCAAGCAAGAGCTAAAATAAGCTGTAGAAAGAAATTCAGGCTATTCAATTCGTTAATAGCTGTCTTTAAAAGTTCTGGATAATCTCAAAAACGTTTTTATTGCTAAAAACAGCGATTTTCAAAACATTGAGTGTTGTGWTACTGTGATAATTAATAGTCTACTGACCGCAATGCATTGTAGGTCGTATCGCGCTAAGAGTTGTTTTCAATTCAACTTATTAATTTCATCATGACATCACATTAAAACATTCTATTGTTTTAAAGCTAAGGATTATGGTCGCTAGAGGGGATCAGTCTTACTGCATATCAAATAAGATGTACATGAGCAATAAAAAACACGATACATTGAAGTTCTACTTTCGAAACGGAATATAAATGGCCCAAATTTACGCTGTYTTTGAGCATCTTTTCCCGATGTAAACATACTGTGAGTAACAACTCGTGTTCTTGATGGTAAGAAGACCTTCAATGAAAATCTATTTATTTGAGAATTATCATTTTTAGAGGAGCTTAATTAATAGCAACAATGCAATGCGCTGAAGCCCTATAGCAACAATGCATTGCAGTCCGTATACACTTATTGGGCACTCGGCTTTTTTTTCTTTTTTTTTTGAGATTGCTGCGCAAACTAACTTCTTCATTGAAACGTACTAATGCAAACTATRAAAAGAATTTCCAAATGTTAATATCCTAAAAATTAATGTATCTTTGTATGAATGCACTAAATCAACCAAATTTCAGTTCAAGATGAAAAAATAAAGTTTCTTCGGTATTTGGACTTCAGGCAGTGGTCTATGGTGYGGTCAAACGCTAGACGAACATTCCATATCAAATTTAACGATTTTACTTGCTCTAGGCGTGCTTCTCTCTTCAAAATCTGGATTTGAAGTWAGTTTCTTTAGTTCAATGTCTTGTGCTTTTTTGGAAGTACTCCTCCTGCTCTCAGTGGTTTGTTCAGTRCGTACACTAGGGTACCCTGGTCGCATCGGTGGCTGGACACCACCAAACAAGCAATGGAATAAACTCTTAAAGCCTTGTTTGTAGTCTTCACTGAACGCCACGTAAATCATAAAGTTTATTGCTCCTGTGGAGTGAGCTAATATGAATGCAGTAAGATGGACGTCTGGAGGAATCCCACATCTACCGTAGTACTGTGATGCAAGCTGTAGAAGAACCATGAGATGCATGGGAAGCCAGCAGACAGCAAACACCACAACAACAGTGATCAGCATCTTAACAACATTCTTTCGCACTTTKCGTTGAAGCTTTCTAATGGATCGGTTGATGTTACCAGGGATCCTTCGCAACCAAACTGTATACACCACGCATGCGTAGAGCAACGCTATGACAGMCAATGGCAGAGCATAAAGCAGAACTAAAGAGACGATAGTGTAAATGATGGACGACCTTTCAGGATCTAATGGAGGTTTCCATTCCTCGACGCAGTATGGTTTGTTGTCCTTGARTATCTTAATGGTGTTTACAAACAGTATTGGTGAGGTTACCAGGCATGCGCAGTACCACACTGCTGCAATAACCCATATGGTACTGCAAGACCGCATTGTGGACCTCATTGGAAACACGATCGCGTTGAATCTTTCGAATGCAATTGCTGTSAGAGTGAAAATAGAAGCGGCGATAGTCGTTCCTTGAAGAAAACCTAAAGCCTTACAACTTGCAATTCCGAGCCAGCCACTGTACCAGGAAAAGTCATATGTAATGAAAGMAACAGCAGTAGGTACCATTGCTACAATCGTCATGATGAAATCACTGATAGCCATGTTGGTAATGAGGTAATTGGTTGGAGTGCGCAGCCTTCTATTCCTATACACCACACATACYACCAATATATTACCACACAAAGAGATCACCATTGTGAAAAGGTACAGACCCACTCTGACTTTTGTGCTTACCCCAGTGCTTCCTGTTAAGCAACTGAAGTGTGCTGTCCCGTTACCAACAGTGCTTGTGTTGTTCATAGTTCTAAAAATGAAAACCATTGATTATAATCACGTTTTTGGTAAAGTAGAATACGTGTGACTGTACAGAATCCACGGTAGTTTCGTGCTTTGGCCTTTTTTTTCAAAATTTCTTCGCTAACGATATATKTCACAACGGCTATCTTAGTTAAACTTCAGAAAAGATTTCTCAGTGGTATCTGCAGTACATTGAATGAATGGTTGAAAACGAACAAACTTGTGACTGAGGTGTGATGAGCCGTTGCACAATCAAACAAAAATTGCTCTAAATGCAAAAAAACTTCTTTGTTTAGAGAGTATTTACCCACAAGAATGCGTAGTTTTTGGATTTCTTTTGGGACAGAGAACAACACTCAGTCTTAAACCTCATATACTGGGCATTTGAAAGAACCGAGACTTGCGGCAGACTTCTTGCAGTGTTTGTGTGTTCCTTCAAAGCCTTAAGGTYACTCAGAAAAATACCGAAAACCCTTCAAAATTCTATTYGCATCCACGTGACCAGCTTCGTACTTGCTACAAACAGACGACAAACCGACAAGTTTCATCCTTTCCAAGCGAGAAAGAAGTAAATATTTACAAATGGAAGATTAGACTTTAATATAACGTTGCAGCTGGCAGCCCCAGGCAATGCCGGTAAAAAATAAGCTTATGAGTCAGGCCCTTATGATATTTTTCAGTATGACATCATGACGACAATTGATTTGTTGTGGCGATAGAAAATATTCCGGATATTGAGGACTTGTTTGCCTACTGATGCGAGGGTTTTCCTGATTTTTAATGTCTTTGTCAAATTCAAAGTGATTATTTAGCGCTTGAGAACTTACTAAAAACAAAAGGATCCATGAAAAAATATTTTCATTATAGTAATAGCCAGCCTATAAGAACCTGCGCTTTAAGATAGGCTAAGTTTTCGGCCCCATTCAAACAAGAGCCTATTAAGGCTAATATTTTGAGTTAGATTGATATCAGTGGGGTCGCTGTACCGGTAGAAACTCTTGAATATAGTGCTTTTAGTTAAACCGTGAAACACAAGTAATACTACTTTGTACTAGAGTAATTTTCATCAGTCTGTGAAAACATTAAAGTCAGTGTTCGATAATAACTATTCACAGGCGAATGAAAATGACTTTATTCTATTTTGTTCTACAATATCAATATTAACATGTAAAGCATGACAGTCAAATACAGTGAAGACATCAAACCGTGAAACAGAATCTACCAATTTAAGTGTGATAGCCAAATAGACACAAAAGAAAACGATGAAACTAGAGCGTAGTAAGGTGCATTATTGTAATATCACAAGTTTTTTTACTTCACTCTAGACACGAAAGAAACAATGCAGTTAGAGCGTAGTAAGGTGTAGAGTCATTTTCATCTGTCTGCGAAACAGTGTTTAAATAACAATGCGCGTAAGAACTAGGGAGCTCTCTATTGTTGTGCGGTATAGCAAGTTCCCCATGTACGAATGTCTTGGTTTTCACACTGATTATGTATCTGTTTGTGGGTAACACATTTTTGAAATAAAATGTGGATAAACTCTATTTTGAAACAAAGTTTCTTTTGTATTAAAAGCTCTTATCCAATCATAAGCACTCAAAACAATAGCTAAAAGATGCTTCTAATTTGCAATGTTCCCCACATAGAATTGCCTTAATATTGAAGCTAAAGAAAGCTTTCATGAAAGCGAAAAACGACATTAAATATGATATTAGAAAATTCGCTAACTTGGAAACTTATAGCAGATTTTCATGTTTTAACCAATGGGATGGATGGATTATACAATGCGCAATTAGCACCTTCTTGCATTCCTGTGCCGTTTGCTTCCCTAGTTCTTACTCGGGGCATTACTTAATAGTAACTATTAGGGTGTGGCAGGCTACCAAAAGGCAAACTCAAAACTGCTTTTGCCTGATTTATTTGTCGCATGTCATAAGTTAAACTATTGGAAGCTAATAGGGGGTAATAGTATAATTCCTATTTCACAGACGGATGAAAATGACTCTATTAGTGAAATATCTATTTCTCGGTTTGTTTGTTTTTTGGTTTGGTTTGGTTTGGTTTGGTTTGTTGTTTTGTTGTTTTTTTACTAGTACAATTTGTTAAATAGTGTTTTAAACTTACACTGAAATTACTCTATCAGACATTTCCTTGACTAAACATATCTTTGTCAAACCTAAGTATGATGTTGGATGATGTCAATAATATGTCTAATATATCTAAATAATATTCATTAGAAACTATAACAACCCATTGGAAGAACCTGTTTAGCCTAAATTTGCTTTTAGTGTCATTAAGGTAAAAGTCTATTTAGGCTAAGTTGAAATATCCATGTCCTTATACTTAACCTATTATTTTATTCTACATAAATATACTGGTCCATTTTCAAATTCAAAT